ATTTAGAAACAAGAAGAAATAAAAGCTACAGGCAAATATGCTTGATGAACACAGATGCAAAGATCTTCAACAAAATACTATCAAATGGAATCCAACAGCACATTAAAAATCCTAGTCATGAGGCTAGTTAGGTTGTCATTTGGGAGGTCAGCATCCCATACTGGAACAGGGTTCAAGTCCTGGTTTCTCTATTTCTGATCCACCTCCCTGCTAATGTACCCAGGGAAATAGCAGATGATGCCACCATGTGGGAGACCCAGTTGGAGCTCCTGGTTCCTGGCTTCAGCCTTGCCCAGCCCTGGCTGTTGTAGCTATGTGGAGAGTAAACCACTGGGTAATCTTTCCTTCTTTCCGTCCGTCCGTCCTTCCTTCCTTCCTTCCTTCCTCTCTCTCTCTCTCTCTCTGCCTTTCAAATAAATAAAAAAAATTTTTTTAAAGATGATTCAATAGGATCAAGTGTGATTCATCTCAGAGATGCAAGGAAGTTTCACTATATGTCAATCAATAAATGGGATACACTAAATCAACAGAATGAAGGATAAAAATCAACTGATCATATCAATAAATATAGAACAGTCTTTCTGTAAAACCCAATATCCTTCATGATAAAAACTGAAAAGAAATTAGGTACAGAAGAAACAAATCTCAACATAAGCAAGGCTACAGATAGCAAAGCAACAGGTAACATCTTACTGAATGGGGAAAAAGCTGAAGGCTTCCTCTCTATGATCTGGAACAAAATAAGGATTTCCACTTTCATCCATCTTATTCCACATAGTAGTGAAAGTCCTAGCCAGAGCAATTAGGCAAGAGAAAGAAATAAAGGGCATCCAAATTGGAAAGGAGAATGACAAATTCTGTTTGCAGATGACATGGTTTTATAAAGAGAAAAACTAAAAGACTTCACCAAAAACTATTAGAACTAACAAACAAGTTCAGCAAAGTTACAGGATATAAAATCAACATGCAAACATCAGAAGTACTGTTACACATCAAGAGCAAATTATCTGAAAAAGACATTAAAAAGCACTCTCATTTCCAATAGCTACAAAAAAAAAAAACCTAAGTTAAGTTCAAACAAAGAAGTAAAAGATTTCTTCAATGAAACATACAAAATACTCATGAATGAAACTACAGAGGGCATAAAGGAAAGACATTCTGTGTCTATGAATTAGAAGAATCACTATCATTAAAGTGTCAGTAATATCAATGTGATTTACAGGTTCAGTGCAATTCTTATGAAAATACCAGTGACATTTGTCACAGAACCAGGGAAAAAAAAAGACTACTAAAATTTGTAGAGCACGACAAAAGACCTCAAATAGCAAAAACAATCTTGGGTAAAAAGAAGAAAGCAGGAAGTGTAACGCTCCTTGACTTTAAAACATATGGCAGGGCCGGCACTGTGGCTTAAGTGTGTAAAGCCACTGGCTGTGGTGCTGGCATCCCATATGAGCACCAGTTTTTGTCCCAGATGCTAGACTTCCGATACAGCTCCCTGTCATTGTGCCTGGGAAAAGCAGTGGAGATGGCCCAAGCGTTTGGGCCCCTGCACCCACATGGGAGACCTGTATGAAGCTCCTTAGCTCCTGGCTTTGATTTGCCTCTCCCTCTCTCCCTCTCTCCCCCTCCCCCTCCGCCCCTCCCTCTCCTTTTCCCTCTCCCTCCCCTTGTAGATCTGAATTTCAAATAAATAAATAAATTTAAAAAAACATATTGCAAAACTATAGTAATTAAAACAGGATGATATTGTTAAACAAACACAATAGATCAATGGAACAGAATAGGAACTCGAGAGATAAGCACATATATCTACACCCAACTATCCTTGACAAATATGCTAAGAACACACATTGAAAAAAGGACAGTCTCTTCAATAAATAGTGCTAGGAAAACTGGATATTCACACATAGAAGAATGGAACTAGCTTTGCATCTCTCATCAGACACAATAATCAACTCAAAATATACAAATACCTAAATGAAAGCACTGAAAGTTGGAAATTACTAGGGGGCTGGCATTGTGGCATAGCAGGTAAAGCCACTGCCTGGGAGGTCAGCATCCCATATGGGCACTGGTTCAAGTCCTGACTGTTCCACTTCACCTCCAGCTCTCTGTTAATGGCCTGGGAAAGCAGCAGAGGATGGCCCAGGTGCTTGTGCCCCTGCTGCCCATGTGGGAGACACAGGAAAAAGCTCCTGGCTGCTGGCTTTAGCTTGGCCCAGCCCTGGCTGTTGTGGCCATCTAGGGAATGAATGAGTGGATGGAGGAGCTCTCTCTTTGTCTCTCCCTTTCACTCTCTGACTTCTACTGTTCTATTGCACAATAGGGGAACGCTAAACAACAATAATATACTTGTATATTTCTCTTAAAAAACAATAATTAGGAAGTATTTAGAGTGATTCTACCATAAAGAATTGTTCAATGTTCCAAGAGAAAGATATGCTCACCCTGATTCGACGACACACAGTGTATACATGTATTTAAACATCACACAGTGCCCCATAAATACTTACAGTTTTTATGTGTCAGTCAAAAATAAAATAGATAAAATATACTTTTATGACCTATTTCCCCCAGAATAGGATATTGGTGTTTCTGAACCTAATAAAAACCCAACATAACATGAGGCGGTCTTCCAAATGGTATTGTACTCATGAGGCATGCCTAAGAACCACAGATGCCGAACACATAGCTGCAATGTTGCTATTTGTTTTCAAAGGTACAAAGAACACCCAAGGACTCATCTCAACCCAGATCCTTGGGTGTTTTCTGAAATGAACTGAGAATTACATTTTTCAAACTGAGAGAAAATGGAAAACTAAAATTATTTTTCTTTGAAATCTTTGTCACCAAGTTGTGCCTTTTCCTATAAATAGATTAAAGAGGAAACAGATTAAAGAGTCACAGAAAACTAATACTGAGATATAACTGCACTGACCAAAAGAAAAATATACCAGAAGTATTTATTTATTCCACCTGGTATCACTTTTTTGAAAAGATGACCAAAAAAATGAGGTGATGGACAGAAACAATAAATACATGAAGGACCCACACATGTCGGGGCCTGATCTGTTACCTTTAAGTGGCTAAAAATGTGGTCATACATGAGAACATCCATCTATATTCTGCTCATGTACCTTGGGAAGCTATTTGAGGGAAATGTTTGAATTTGAGATTGAAAGTTTGCTTTCTGTAGGGATCCGTGGGGACTATAAACATGGGGTCACTTGAAACCAAATTAAAGAAAACTAATAGCTAACTAACATTTTCAATCTGCTGGGTTTTGTGAGGCCCTGAAAACAAAGCTCAAAACTCAAGTATGCAGATGTCCTCAGAGCAAAAGTAGCCTCCTCAGCTTCAGTCGTTTGTTCATTGGGGATAACTCCTGGGTTCCTGCCTCCATTCATATTTTGGCCTGACAGGTCTGTAATTAATGAAATGTATGTGTATGTACGTGTGTTTGAATATGACTCATATGAAATTACAAAGCAACTGGTATTTTGGTATCATGTAAGGGGGACATTTCTCTTGGTCAGGGTAGCTATTTAAAATTAACTGGGCTTCCCCAGAGGGCACTGAGGTGAGCTGCCTATAGGTGGAAATGTTCTAGCACAGGATGGCTAACCACATGGCAGGAAAGCTATAGAGGAAATACAAGAAAAAGAGGAGTGAGCAGGGGCCAGCACCATGGCATAGCAGGTAAAGCTGCCACTGGCAGGACCGGCATGCCATATGGGCACAGGTTCAAGTCCCAGCTGCTCCACTTCTGATCCAGCTCTCTGCTATGGCCTGGGAAAGCAGTGGAAGATGGCCCAAGTTTTGGGCTCCTTGTACCCATGTGGGAAGACCCAGAAGAAGCTCCTGGCTCCTGGCTTCAGATCGGTGCAGTTTTGGTCGTTGTGGTCAATTGGGGAGTAAACCAGCAGATGGAAAACCTCTCTCTCTCCCTCCCTCTCCTTCTCTCTCTGTGTAACTCTGACTTTCAAATAAAGAAATAAATCCTTAAAAATAATAATAATAAAAAAAAGAGGAGTGGGCAGTCTTTTATTGCCCCAAGCTACTACGGCTATCACATCACTTGTCCCAGCATAGAGCAAACCACAGTGAAGAAGGCATGACAACCAAAGAAAGGAACAAAGAAGGCATTCAGTCAATAAATGCTGCTAGTGGCTCTTTTCAGCCTGTTGCTTCGCTTACCTTTAGTGGAAACAACACATGCATGCTTGCTGATTTCCACACTGCTTTCCTTAGTCTTGTATTATTGGTTACAACACATCATGTGGTGCTTTGAACTAATTTCCTCTAATATGCCATTCTTCAAGGACAGCATTTGTACCTTGACCATCTTTATATCCCCATTGTGCCAGAAATAAATGACCGTCATTTGGCAGGTATTCGGTAAATGTCTGCTTAGGGGCTCCGAGTCCCTCTACTACCATACTCCAACTATGTTTCATTACTCTTCAGGGAACACGGATAAAACCCACCTGCCTCAGTTGTTCTGAGAGGTGTTTATGAAGTTGTTTTACTTACTGACGGGTCCACTCCCTTCAGAATACCAAGCAGAGATGCTAGTCAGTTGCATAACTGTTGGGCAGTGTACTCCCAGGATTACTAAGAATGTCTTCTTTGAAGATTGCATTTCCATATGTTCCAACCCAGGCTGCTCTCCCAACATCTCTGATGATCTTTATTATACACAAGATCAAGGTTACTGAATCCTACGTATTATAAACTTCTAAGTAAAATAAATATGTACTCTATATTTATAACATATTTATCATCTGGTATGTTGCTAGAAGTTGATAACATGTATATTAGTTAATACATACCAGTCATTTTTTGTATAGGTTTATAATGTTCTACACTGAATACATTTCAATTGAGAAATGCCACTTGGATATTGCATTTCATTTCAGAAACATCACTCTACCATAGGTAGCTACCAGGAGATACAATTTTAACTCCAGCAAGAACCAGAATGGTGAGATTGCTACCTCAGCATGAGGAGTCGGTGGCAGAACTGACGTCTCGTTTTCAGTCACATTTCCAGTCGGCCCATTGTTTGGTGAACTGGGACCAGATCCTGGAGAACTGCTACTGACGGAAGATTCTGAAAAACAGTGTGAAATACAAAGGTATCTGTGAAAAACATACCAACATGGACTTCAGTTACTGTAAGTAACGTATAGCACCGAATGTTATTTTATGTGTCCCCTATGTGAGTGATGAGCTAGGAACATCTGTAGAGCACGTCTGAATTTCCTTACCACTTTCTCCCACTTCCTTTCCATTGCAAAAACTACAACATAGTATCCAATGGTTTCTCGAGAAGCAAAGACTGAAAGCTCTAGAGGGTTCTAGAAGCTCTGGATGAGGAATGAATCAAACAAGGAAAGCAATGTTCTCTCACCTGCTCTTGTGCTATCAAAAAAAAAAAAAAAAAAAAAAGCATTGGGGTCAGCGCTGTGGCGCAGTATGTTAATCTTCCACTTGTGGCATCCGCATCCCATATGGGCACCAGTTCTAGTCCTGGCTGCTCCACTTCCAATCCATCTCTCTGCTATGGCCTGGGAAAGCAGTGGAAGATGGCCCAAGTCCTTGGGCCCCTGCAGCCACATAGGAGACCAGGACGAAGCGCCTGGCTCCTGGCACCGGATCAGTGAGCTCTGGTCATTGTGGCCAACTGGGGAGTGAACAGTGGAAAGAAGAAAGAAGACCTTTCTCTCTCTCTCTTTTTTTTTTCTCCCTCTCACTGTCTGTAACTCTACCTCTCAAATAAAGTACATAAAAATCTTAAAAAAAAAAAAAAGCATTGGCAGAGGTAATAAACCTGAATACATAATAAAAACAGGTCATCAACACATAAGACCCATAGTTTTATTCCTCTTGTGTCTGAAAGAATTTCTTAGATACTGTGCTACAAACTGCTCTCCCTAATGGATATACTAAGGCTCTACCTTATGACCATCACAGTTGTATGAAGAAAATTAAATTGAGTGTAAAATCTCCACTCTGAAGCAAGGCCTTGTATAATATCATTTACCTTAATAAACTCAATTGTTTTCAGAAGATGAAAAACTACCCAAATTTATTATGTAAAATTTCAACATCAGTAAAATAAATTCCTTTGCACTACAATTAGATGGAAGCGATACAAATTACTTACTTAACTCAGAACTTTCCTCTCAGATATAAAATCTGCATGCATTATTCACATCAAGCTATGAGGAAACTAATGTAGTGATGCAATAATCTAATTAAAAACACAAATTTTGGGGGCTGGTGCTGTGGTGTAGTAGGCTAAGCCTCCACCTGCAGTGCTGGCATCCCATACTGGTGCTGGTTCATGTCCTGGCTGCTCCTCTTCCAATCCAGCTTTCTGCTCATGGCTTGGGAAAGCAGTGGAAGACAGGCCCAGTTCTTAGGCCCCTGCACCTGCATGGGAGACCTGGAAGAAACTCCTGGCTCCTATCGGTCTTTGGGAGTGAACCAGTAGTGGAAAACCTTAGTCTTTCTCTTTCCCTCTCTCTCTCTCTCTCTCTCTCTCTCTAACTCTACCTCTCAAATACACATAAAAAAACTTTTAAAAAATACAAAGTCCTAATTCTTTTTGTTTGTTTTTAAAGATTTATTTATTTGAAAGGCAGAGTTACACAGAGAGGTAGAGGGAGAGAAAGAGAGAGAGATTCTATCCACTGGTTCACTCCCCAAATGGCCACAATGACCAGGACTGAGCCAGGCCAAAGCCAGGAGCCAGGAGCCTCCTCCTAATCTCCCACGTGGGTGCAGGGCCCTAAGGAGTTGGATAATCCTCTACTGCTTTCCCAGGTGCATCAGCAGGGAGCTGGATCTGAAGTGGAGCAGCTAGGACTCAAACTGGTGCTCACATGGGATACTAGTGCTGCAAGCTGGGGCTTTAACACACTGCACCATAGCTCCAGCCCCAAATTTCTAATTCTTAAAAATATAACCAGGAAAGTCATCTTATCAAGCCTTGGCAAATTATTAACCGAACTCTAATTCCTATCATCTTCTACAGCTCAGTCATTTCAAATTTTTTCCATGTGCCTCATTTGTACATCTTCTTAAACTAACTTTGTGCAAGTGGTCTTGCTTCAGACTTTTGAGAAATCGAGGGCTTCTCACAGGGTCTCTGCCAACATCTTTTCTTTCTAGCCCCTGGTTACCTTCTCTATCCTCTCCTTTCCCATTTCCCATTTCAAAGGTAGGGCATCTCCCTTCCTCTCCACGTTCTACTGCTCGAACACTTCCTCTTTCCCACAACCCCACCCTCCACAATTTCAGGAGCATGCTCCAAGTGCTGTCTGGAATCTTCAGGCCCTCTTCTCTTGAAGAATGAATTGTCCCTTGAGCCTCACAACTCTCTGGTATACTTGAGAAGCCGTGCCTACTCAGCCCCTCAAACCCTGGCAGTGCGGGTCACTCACTGCCTGCCACCCATGACTCTTCTCTAAGAAGCCACTCAACTTGAAGGCTTTGGACAAAGCAGTCCTCATCCACTACAGCAACCTTCTCCACCTCCACCTCTCTGACTTTTCCTCCTTTTTACCAACCGCTAAATGCAACAGTTCCCTAACATGTAGCTTTCTACCATTTTCTTTCCTTTGTCAAAGTCATTCAATATTGGGACTTCAAGTGTCATTTTTACATGGGATGTTCTCTTGAAGGTTAAATTTCTTTTCTTTAATGCTCATAATTTCCAGCCCAAATTTCTCTGAAATACTGAATCCTTTAAGCTTCTCCTTATACATGTGTTGAACCCAATGTATTCTAACAGCGCCACACTCCTGCTTATCTCTGTCATTTGTCAGCACCCTAAAAGTCTTCCTCACTCCCTCTTTAATCAGTCACTAGTCCTTCCAGTTGTTTTAAAAAGATTTTTAAAAATTTATTTGAAAGGCAGAGTGATAGAGAGAGAGAGAGACAGAGACAGAGAGAAACACACACACAGACAAAGAGGGTGGGGGAGAGAGAGATATATCTTCCACCTGCTGGTTCACTGCCCAAATACCCAAACAGCCAGGGCTGGACCAGGAGAGTCAGGTGCTGAGAACTCTATCTGGGTCTCCCACATGAACAGCAAAAACACAGGTACTTGAGTCATCATCTACTGCCTTCCCCAGTGCACTAGTAGGAAGCTTGATGAGAAGCATTGAGAAGCTGGGACTTGAACCAAGACTTGCATGTGGCATATGGGTGTCCCAAGTGGCACCTACTGTGCCACAGTGCCCACCCCTAAATTTGTTCTGACATCATCTCTCATCTGTGTCTGACTATAAGCACTTCAGTTGAACCATTCATTATTCTCTCACAAACTACAGCAGAAGCTTTAGACCAGAGTCTCTCAAAATTTTCTTCCACATTCTTTGCACATGGATCACAACTCTCACCTGCCCCTCCGCTCCACGATGGAGCCCAACATCATTTCCTACTGCTGCCCTTCCTACACTTACCCTCAGATTCCACCAAGGACTCTCCACCAGTACCAGTCATGTTTTTTCCCTGCTTCCACTTCACTGCAGGTCCAATCCCACCCATAACCTCAAAGCCTGGCTCACCAATGCCCTGTCCCCCTGAGAACAGGGACTCCCATTTTCCATGTAGTGGTTTCTCACCCTCCCTTGGAACACCCCTAACTTTCTATAATCAATATTTCTCCACTCTGCCTTGAAGCAACACCAAAGAAAATCTATGGCTGTGACAGGATTCTGATCCTAGCCCTTTTAACTATGGGATTTGAACAAGTTGTTAGTATCATAAAATGTTTGAACACATCCAGCGCACTTTCTGTCTACATATCTTGCTGACTTGCTGATTAACCTGCTTTTTAAAACCACTTCTTAATTTTGCCTCTCTCTTCTTTTAACAAAGAAAACACATATCTCTTCTTTTCTGTTCTTATAGGAACTTCTTTATCCAGATTTCTAATTCTTGTCTTTTCAATTCTTGTCTTTTCAGTATGATTTAGTACTGATTTCTTGTTAATGTCTCATTTCCATATCATTTCCATTTTCATATTTTTAAAAAAACATTTTCTCAAAACATTCTGTCTTACTAATTTTACATTATATTATTTTATGTGATATTCAGACTGAAGTATTTCCGTAAGCAGAAATCACTATACTATGCACTAGATTCAAGGCAGTGGCCACTGTGACAGGGCCTCCTAAGCCACACCGGATGGGATCTGGGAGGAGGCAGCAATGGTATTCATGGAAGAGTGAGGAAGGCTCAGAGAAGAAATGATATTGGAACGGAAGCTTGATAAGCTTAGCTTATGCAGTAAGAGCAATGGAGAAGGGCAGCGTGGAGGAGAAAACATTGCAGGTACCAGGATGGGTCAATGTTAGCTTTTAGGGGAGGAAGGGACAGGATACACTTGAACTTGAATAAAGAGGGAGGTAGCAAGTTGTTCTCATGCCAACTATCGGGAGGAGAGGGATGGCCTGAGTTCAAAAAAAGCGTGCACTTGAACCTATGGAATGAGAACAGAGAAAAGACAAGTAAAAGGATAACAGCAAAGGCAATGTAACAGCTGTGACACTATAATGGTCTCTGACCACGTGTTAAAAATACAGAAATACAACCTTAGTATTAAGAGCTACAAAGAGCACACCCAAATGAAAGTTGGCAGAGGAGACGACAGAGCACAGGTGAAGACAGCCGAGTGCAGGTCGTTCCGAGCCTTCAAGGGCACTGGGGCAAGGGCAGCACCCCAGGCACAGACATCTGCCACAGCAGCCAGCAGCCCCAGCTCATGGCCCACAAGTGCACATCGACCTTATTTTCCACAAAGAATATGGGGGTCATGATCTCACACAATTAAGAAAAATATATTTTAAATATAAAGACACTCAAGTAACACTCCAGCCAATCATAGCCCTTGTATGATAAGGGATAGGAATCGAAGCTAGATTCCACTGCAGTTTGTTAAGTATGAAAACAATGACTGAAAAAGTTATCACCAAAAAAAGAAACACACAGGAGAATAGAAAAAAAGATCATTATAAATAGATATGACCTTGGCTTTCTAGATTCCAAACCTGAAAAATATAGAGATATGTATACACTATTCTCCTTCAAGTTTTGGCCTACTTTTCCAAGTAGAAAAAAACACCTATATCCATTTACTTGAGATAATTAACTTCTACATTCCTCAACACAGATTCATTCCAAATCCCCTCTCCCCTATTAAGTTTTCTCTTAGGAAAACTTAAGATTTTTATTTACTTCAATAAAGCAACATTTCTTGAAACAAAAAAGTCTGTGACTCAGAACTTAGAATTCAATTGGTCAAGCCAGTGATTATATTGTTCTTAAAAAATAAATATAAACCAGGGCTGGTACTGTGGCATAGTGGGTAAGGCTGCCACCTGTAGTGCTGGCATCCCATATGGGCAACAGTTCAAGTCCCAGCTGCTCCACTTCTAATCCAGCTCTCTGCTATGGTCTGGGAAAGCAGTAGAAGATGGCCCAAGTCCTTGGGTCCCTGCACCCATGTGGGAGACCCGGAGGAAGCTCCTGGCTCCTGTCTTTGGATCGGCACAGCTCCAGCCATTACAGGCCTTGGAGAGTGAACCAGCAGATAGAAGATCCCTCTCTCTCTCTTTGCCTCTGCTTCTCTGTAATCTGCCTTTCGAATAAATAAATAAATCTTTAAAAAATATAAACTTTGGTGAAATAATATTATTTATTGTTTTAATATTTCTTATCCTTCAAGGAAAAAATTGCACATTGTACTTACTAATATGTTTATATGACCATATCCATCTGCCAAGATTGAATAGTTAACCATGCATTTTCCACTAAATAAGACACAAAATTTCCACCTACACTTTCACAGCCTTCCCCTCTTATTTCCTCCCTGTATCAGACACTGTGATGGCCAAAAGAGAGAAAACAATGAACTTTTTTTAAAACACAAAGGATAATATACGATCAGTCATGGAGAACTAAGAGCAACTGACTACACTGGCATAAAGAAAATTTTCCCTGAGAATAGAGAAAAGTGGTTGCAAATTATCACCTCTTTCATTTTGTACCCAAAGGAAATGAGCAGGTCCATCACTTGGCTCCAAGTAGGTCCTCAATAAACAGCAGTCGGTATGATTTTGATCTGCCTTTTGGTTCTTCTATCCTTAGGCCTTCTCTAATTTCAAACCAGCTACAACTGGGACTGAGGGGGTATGTAAGACATCAGGTTGCATTTCCTAACCTGTTCACCCCACTACTAACCAGGCAGCTAAAAAAATAAGAACCCGTCCATTTGAGACTAATGAAAATGACAGTTTCTTCCCCTTCACAGAAAGCTATATTTTCCCCTCCTGCCATAAGTCCCAGCTCACTAGTAAACACATAAAGTCATTTATGAGTTCTGTAAATTTGTTGAAAAGTCAAGGTTTTGCTGTTGCATGTAGTTTAATTTTCCCAGATGTATTTCGTACACTCATGTTTGAGTATGGGGGAAGTGTTCTTGCTGGACCTCCCTCTGCTCATTTCTGATCAGATTTCATTAAAAGTTATATTCTCCTGGTTGGCATGCCCAGAATGGACTGCCTGTTTCTGCAAAGGATAAGGTGAGCTCGGGTGCTCCTTACTTGGCCTTCGATTGACACGGAGCTCTGTTTCTTCATTCATTTCCTGTTTAACACAGTCGGTGAAGGCATAACCAGGTTTACTGAACTATTTGTGAGTTTCAATACAATTTCCTTTCAAGAAATATTTCTCCTGAAAATAATTTTTTATGCACGCAAGCATATTGACTCTAAACTATTTTTTCATTCCTACTACCCGCATTTGTGAGCGTGTGACTGCCCCGTCCTCAATTACCTGTCACCTCAAACATTCGCTTCTTGAATGAAGTGACAACATTTCCATCCTTCCGCCTGAGTAAGGGGCTGCTTCTCCTCTCTGCCACTTTCTGTTTTAACCTGGACCGCACCTTCAAGTTGGGCTCAGAGGCTGGGGATCGAGACAGAGAAAATAGATAAAAATTAAAAAATAGAGAGCCGGTTGCTCCTGTGTTTAAAATAAAAAAAAAAAAAAAGTCTCACCCTTTTCTTGGATCCTTCTTATCCTCAAATTAAAAATTCAAGCATGTAAATAAGGCATTGACTCTAAATTCATTATACACACAAATATAGTCATTATGTTTAGGAAATGAGTGAAATGTCTTTCTACTTCCCTACACATGAAAGTGAAAAGGGAATGAAAATAAGCTTTGTATTCATTTTATCTATCAGAATTTGGACTGTTAGTGGGGAGTGTAGTCACTAATTATGTTTGGGTCAGAGTAAGATTTATTGCACTTCACAATGAGTTCTCCTAATTCTCCCAGGGGGGGAAACTCAATAACCGCAAAGGTAGTTCCTCAGTGTGGCTTCCCAGACTCTGCCTTGACTTCTGGTAATATGAAGATACCTAAGTAGCAAATAATTTATGTCTAATTCTGACTCCTGGGATACTTCTTTCTCAGTAGTTTCTAACCTAAGACCCTGGGAAAACACAGCGTAATCACACCAAGCACATAGATTCACTGTGAACAGAGTTTCTAGAGAGTTAGCCCCCTGTCAGCTGGGCAGGAAGGGCAGCCATGTCTTAGAATTGAGACTGTGGAGCCGGCGCCGTGGCTCAATAGGCTAATCCTCCACCTTGCGGCGCCGGCACACCGGGTTCTAGTCCCGGTTGGGGCGCCGGATTCTGTCCCGGTTGCCCCTCTTCCAGGCCAGCTCTCTGCTATGGCCAGGGAGTGCAGTGGAGGATGGCCCAGGTGCTTGGGCCCTGCACCCCATGGGAGACCAGGAAAAGCACCTGGCTCCTGGCTCCTGCCAGGATCAGCGCGGTGCGCCGGCTGCAGCGGCGGCCATTGGAGGGTGAACCAACGGCAAAGGAAGACCTTTCTCTCTCTGTCTCTCTCTCTCACTGTCCACTCTGCCTGTCAAAAAAAAAATAAATAAATAAATAAATAAAAAAAAAAAAAAAAAAAAAGAATTGAGACTGTGGAGTTAGGTCGTGTGGTCCAAAATGCAAATGCCCGTTAGTCATGCCGATGCCACTATTTCTTTGTGTAAATTATTCTAAATAGAGAAGCTCCATTAGTGGCTTTTATGTATTGGGTTCTTATTTTAATTCCTGAGAATAGAAACACTACATTGGGTCTCTGTGTAGCAGTAGAATAATGATGATGATGATGGTGATAGAAGAAAGGATATTTCTGAAGACAACTAACATTTATATAGTGTTTTATATCTCTCAGTACTGTTCTAAGCATTTTACCAATATTACATTGTTTAAGCACAAAAACATCTATGTGGCATGGATACTGTTTAAAATTTTACTGTATCGATGAGAAAGCCAAACACAGAAGAGAGGGTAAATAACTTGCCGGAGTCTACAAACTAAAAAGGGATGAAGCCCGTATTTGTTCCCAGGTAATCTTACTTAACTCTGTTCCAACTACTGAAAATATGACGTCTCCACCTTTTTCTTATGGATGAACACAATAAATACTATAAAATTACAGTTTACCCACAGTAGACAAAATCTTATAGAGAGATCTTTTGATCAGCAAAAATGTTTTCTTTGGAGGAATTTTTATTTTTGCCAGACTTCAAAGATCTTTCCATCTTTTTCTGCTTTCAGACTTAAAACGTCAGTACGTATTTCCCTTGTTGTTCTTTTCTTTTTCCCTTCTCTACAGCTTTAAACTTGACTCGAGAACCCTTACATTATAAGTGTTCTTGGAATTGGTCGGCTGAAATAGCAGCTTGAAAGAGAGGTTAAACTCAGATATGAAAAAAAAAAAAATGCCAGTTACTTTCTTGTGTCATCTGCCTGATTTTATGTCTGAACATATTGAAAAGGTAAAAACAAAAATTGGGTGTCTAGAAATATGTAAAAAAAAAATCCAGAGAGGAGGGGCACAGAGCAGGATTGAGGGCAAGAAATTCAACATGACAAGAGACCTTGTTCAGCCTCCTACCTTGAGGCCAAGAAGTTCAAAGGTTTGGGAAGAGATGAAGGTTCCTGAAAGACCTTTCCCATGGTTGGAGAAGCCTGATTCTCAATATCACCAAAATCACTCAGGTAAAGTGAGAAAATGAGACCACACTAACTTAGATTTGTCTCCCTATATATATTTACTTTAAAATTCCTTTAAAAATTCAATCCTGCCCCTGAAAAGCTATAACTAATCAATACCTTCATCTAGAATCTAAAAGAAATTATGAATCTTGAAGTGGAAACTGTACTGGCATCCTTTGTACCTCTGCTTATAAAATCCCAGATCAGGCCGGCGCCGCGGCTCACTAGGCTAATCCTCCGCCTAGCGGCGCCGGCACACCGGGTTCTAGTCCCGGTCGGGGAGCCGGATTCTGTCCCGGTTGCCCCTCTTCCAGGCCAGCCCTCTGCTGTGGCCAGGGAGTGCAGTGGAGGTTGGCCCAGGTGCTTGGGCCCTGCACCCCATGGGAGACCAGGAAAAGCACCTGGCTCCTGGCTCCTGCCATCGGATCAGCGCGGTGCGCCAGCCGCAGCGCGCCAGCCGCGGCGGCCATTGGAGGGTGAACCAACGGCAAAGGAAGACCTTTCTCTCTGTCTCTCTCTCTCTCACTGTCCACTCTGCCTGTCAAAAAAAAAAAAAAATCCCAGGTCAAAAATCTTAGATTCAAGACTTAGAGCTAGGCAGGAGACAGGACTTGTAATGAAAAACTAAAGAATTAGATGCCAATGCCACAGACTGGCTGTCCATAGGGAGTTTATCACCTGCTTAATCACTTCAAAGAGCAGTGGATGAGAGAGCACGGGGTTAACCTAGTGGTTATGACTCCACATCCCACATCTAAGAGCCTCGGTTTGACACAGCTCCGACTCCTGACACCGGCTTCCTGCTACTGCAGACCCTGGGAGACAATGCTTACAGCTCAAGTAACTGAGTCACTGTGACCCTTGGGAGATTTGGATTGAGGTCCCAGCTGCCAGCCTCAGTCTGGTTTATGCTCGGGCCAGCATTTAAGCAATAAACCAGCAGATGAGAACCACCATCTCTCATCCCCACCCTCTTTGTCTTTCTGCCTTTTGCATAAACTTTTCAAAAAAGCAGTGGGTGTACTGAAAAGACGGTGCACTTTCAGTAGCAGGATGTGGAGGTGAGGCTGGGTGGCCCTCTTTTCTGCAAGGAGACACTCAGAGGTTGATTCTTCATTGTAAAACAAAAGGTCTAAACATCTCCCTGTGCCACAGGTTGTAGCTACCGAATTACAGCTCCAGAATTACTGTGAAGGTTTGGGTGAAATGAAAGAAGCAAAGGTTATAGAGCTTGTGCTATTGGTGCTACTGCCTAAGGTTTCACAGCTAGGACAGGCTTGTGCCAGGCCTGGGTCCCACATCTCCTGATTCTCATTCCTTCCCCCTGCCCATTCCTGACACACCACACTAAAGCTAGGGCTGAGGATCTGCAATCAAGACAAAAATGTGCCGACAGCTTGGAAAAACAGCATATGCCATTTAAACATTCTAGATGAAACCCTAAAATTTCACAAGCTATTCAGAAAGAAATTATTTTTAAGGCTGGCAGAGAGCTTTCACTCCTGTGTTTGTCTACTGGAGAATGGGGATGGATATACAACTCTTAAATGCTTTCAGTGGTCAACACAGGAAAGCAGACCAGGACAGGAATGAGAACAAGATTCCAGTCTTGCACCTACCGCCTACTAATGTTAATAACCTTGAACAACTCAAGAGTCTTGCTGATCATCAGTTCATTCGTGACAATCAGCTGGGGACCAGATCTCTGCAGGGCCCACAGTCAAAAAGATGTGCATTCAAATGTCTGCTCCACCCATTAGCTGTTTGGCTTTGGAAGAACTTTATTTATATCTCTCAGCCTCCATTTCTCATGTTAAAATGGGAGAGTGTTTTTTCTGGACTTTCTCCAGCTTTTCCAACAGATTCCACTTTCCATCCTTCTTTGAGGTCAGGGCGAGCTGAATCATGGAATTGCATCAGTCCACCCCTTAGCAGGTGGGCTTCATTTGCACCCAACCTGCTGGCAGGATGGGTGAGTGCGGAAAGGATTAAGGAGAAGGAAGAGACGGGGGTATTCTGCAGTCTCCTGTGGCAGAGCTGTATCACCGGCCATGGCTTTGTCTCCTGTCTCTGCTCCCTCTGAGTCCTGCTCCCTGGCTGTGGCTCCCCAGTGCCCAGGAGCACTTTTCTCTCTGTTCTTCTTCAGTCTAGGTATAGGAATGCATTCTTGCTGTTGCTTTTTTTTTTTTTTTTGGGGGGGGGGGTTATATGTCTAATTAGTTTCTTTAACCTTGCTCCATTCACTGCAAGTATAATCCCTTCATCAAAGCCTGTGCTCCATGCTGCATAGCTATGTTCCCTGCCAGAACCCAGATTAATGTCCAGCTCTCCTTGCAGTTCCTATAAAAGCAAATGAAATTATCTCTAGTAGAGGATACACCAGTAGTTCCCAACCTTGGAAGATGTCACCCCAGGGGACACACTGACAATGTCCAATGTCTGGAGACATTTTTGATGGTCAGCCGGGGAGCTGCTAAATGAATCTGGTGAGTGGAAATAAGAGATGCTGCAAACGTCCTACAAGGCCCAGTGCCACCTTCTCAACAAGGAATGTTCTGGAAACACATGTCAACATATTAAGTGTCAGAAACCCTGGGGGAAGCAAACAGTGAACAATAGCTGTTAATAACTATGCTGTTCTGGGATGATTACAGTTAACAAAACCTGCCAGCGATGGGACAGGAGCTGTGGCGTAGAGGGTAAAGCCGCCACCTGTAGTGTTGGCATCCCATATGGGCACAGGTTCAAGTCCCAGCTGCTCCACTTCCAATCCAGCTCTCTGCGATAGCCTGGGAGAGCTGTAGAAGATGAACCAGGTGCTTTTGGGCCCCTGCACCCATGTGGGATACCCAGAGGAAGCTCCTGGCTCCTGGCTTTGG